TACTCATGTACACATCACCTGAATTCTGTTCATTCAGTAGTCCTTATTTTAGATGAGAAAGAAAACAGAATTTTAAAATAGTCTCATGGAGCACATATGAAACTTTCAGAATCAAGAATCCACATTGAAGAAACACTGACACTCCTTCTTCTGTATCATTAATTTTTCTTCACTGATTACAACCATAGGGTAATTTTCCTAATGGTTTTTATCTGAATCCATAACAGGAAAGGTGGTAGGAAAGATAAGGTAATATAAAGTGGTCACTACTTGGTTTTCAGCATTTGAAAAATTTAACAAATCTTTCCCATTTGCTGTTTGCCTTATTGCTGTGTAAACTGAAATCTTAATTACTTTAAATAGACACTTCTTATAGCTTTCTTTTCTCTTTTTTTCTAATACAATGTATCTTTTTAATTCTCCAATTTTGTCTATTAAACTGAATCTGTAATCATTGGGATTGGGAAACTAGATTTCATTCAGTAAGCCTCACTCATGATTGTTAGAGAGCTGGCAGCATCCCAATCAGGCACACAAAGTCCCAGCACCAGGATGACTCTAAACTGATGTCCACAACAGCTGTGGACATGATGTCCCCAGAGGGTCTCTGCAATGTATCTGGACAGCAGCCAGAGGGAGGTGGACTTTGGTTTCCTGCTTAGCAGTCATATTCCTGTTTGGGATGAAAGAATGCTCATTGATACCCCTTCTCGACAAACCATGATAACCAGAAGTGAGCATTTGGCTGGGCAGTTAAGACATCAGGTAGAACACTCACGTCCCACTTCTCAGTACCTGGTTTCAACATCAGACCATGGTTCTGCTGATGCACACCTGCTCAAGTAGTATTTGGGTTCTTGCCACCCAGGTGGAAGACCTAGTTTGGGTTCCCAGCTCCAGCCCAGCCCCAGCTGTTTCAGACATTTAGGGAATGAACTAGCACTTGCTCACTCTTTCTGGAGCTTTCTATCACTTTCTCTTCCCTTCTCAAATAAACTTTTGAAAATAACTGAATGTGATAACCATTTTCTTACTTAAGAAAGTTCATCCTCCAGTCTACCTGCCTACCTACCATAAATTTTTATGAAAATAACTTGCAACTAGAACAAACTATACACACAAAAAATCCTTAATTTCTACCACTGTTTACAAGGTGGAGAACACCAGATGTAAAATCTTGATTCCTGATGGACAAAATCAGCTTTCACAAGTACCACAGAACTGTAAAGCATCCTCATTTCCATCAGCCTAGTCTAGTCAGATTTTTCTCCACTTACAGATTTCTTCTAAGGAAATACATCTGGGTTGAACTTTGACAAGCACATTGTAATATTTGGGCCCTAAATTTATAGGGTATTAGAAAGTTACCAAAGAAAACCTTCAAATAGTAGACTTATGTATGTTCTTACTGGCAGAGGATTAAAAGCATTATATTGATGTGCTATGCCATTGGTGTTCCATTAGCTTTTTTAAAAAAGATTTATTTTATTTTTATTTGAAAGGCAGAGTTATAGAGAGGAGAGACAGATCTTTTCCATCTGCTGATTCATTCCTCAAAGGGCTATAATTGTCAAGAACTGAGCCAATCCAAGGCCAGGAGCTTCCTCCAAGTCTCCCACGTGGGTACAGGGGCCCAAGGACTTGAGCCATCCTCCGCCACTTTCCCAGGCTATAAAGCAGGAACTGGAGCAGCTGGAATACGAACCCAGCATCCATAAGGGATGCTGGTGCCTCAGGCAGAGGATTAATGTGGTACACCACAGTGCCAATCTCTGTTAGCTTTTATAATATCGTGGTAGCCATATGTTCCTGGTTCAGTGGGATTATCCAAGGCCAGGGTTAGTCACACAGGTTGCTACAATTTCTGAATGCGTGATCCTCTCTGTTATGCTTAGCTTGAAAATGGAGTGAGCTTTTGGCACAGGAGCTAAGACACTGCTTGGGAAACTTGCATCCCTTTTTGGAGTGTCAGGATTTGAATCCCAGCTCCACTGCCAATTCCAGCTTCCTGAACATGCACACCCTGGGAGGCAGCAAACGAAGGCTCAGATAGTTGGGTGCCTTTTTCACACACATGGGAGACCCCAGATTGAGCCCTTAGCTCTTGACTTTGGCCTGGTCCAGCCCTGGCTGGAGCAGGCATGTAGCCAGTGAGTGGAAAGATTCTCGCTCCCTCTACTTTTCCAATAAATATGAATTTGACATTGTGAGCAATATTTAATAAGCCCCATAAACTGATTTTAGGAGCCTTCCATTTTTCTTTCCCACCTCTTAGTTCCACTTATCTTCCACCTGCGCCTGTTATTCTCTGATGGCTGTAGCAGCCTCAGTTGGAGCCACTAATCCAATGTTGTTCACAGTCTCTACATACCTGGGCTCACTGGGAGCTTGCATTCCCGGCCGCCTGGAGGGTTGTCAGCTCTAATCCCTCTATCGTCCTCGTTCAAGACCTCTGACGTTTTTGGCCGACCAGATCTATTTCCCTTGTCCTTTTTGCTCTTTCTGGGGTCGCTTGGTGTGTTTCTGGGGGAAGCCACGCTTCCTCTGCTGACTGCAGGCTTGGAGAAGCCGGCCAGGTGTTCCCTAACTGCAATCTGACTCTTCCACCCAAGGGCCGCCTCCTGCAGCTGAGGCAAACTGTTACTCCAACTGGAAGCCCTGAGAGATAGTCAGGTGGGTCCTGCCACCAATACCCCGAGTGTTTTCCTGATTCCTCTTCTCCTTGATATTTGTTCCATCATTTTTCCCTTCTGGGAGCAAATAGACAGCTGACAGGAACGCAGAGAAAGAAGAGTGAGTCTGTTCTTGCAACCATCAGATTACCAAAGGTATTGCTATCATACACCCTGAAGTTACACACCTCCAAGATGCTCACCTTCTCCTGACTTTCCTGTTTCTGTGGGGGATACTGCATTCCTTTCTATGCCTTGACTGAAATCTGTTTTCCTCAAGTTCATTTTCACACATCATTTTCTTTTTGTCTGCATGCAATGCAGTGGCAAAATTTTTGGACCCAAATACTGCAGCGTCCCTTGCTGCATCTCCCCTTCAAGACTGCTTCTATAGTTCAATCCCACATACGACTGACCCAGACAGTACAGTGGAAAGGTCAGAACCAGGCTTTTAACTGACTTGTTGCTGGTTAGCTGTGCTGCCCTGGGCAACCTAATTAACATCTCTGAACCATCATGCTTTTCATTTGTTAGAAAAGCCTCATAAGGAGATTATTAATATTAAACAAGATGCTGTGTGTCAAGTTCTGTATATAGTTTGTGACTTCAAGTGGGTATTCAAATTCATTACTGCCATTTTCATATAACTGACTTTACCAAACTACCACTGGTCCCTACAATCATTTTCTCCCAATTCCACCACTTTCATACAGTAATATCTAACAAGTCTTCATACATTTGTAAATTCGTGTCACTACTCTAAGTAGATAGCTTTGAAAATTCTCCTTTTTCTAACAAATGGAATCCAGGCCCTAACTGCATATCAGCTGGGTCCTCCACTGTGTCTTCTGTTCTCAGCTCAGTCAGTAGCCCCAGATAAGTAGGCCTCTCCTTTGAACTACTCTTTCTTACTTTTCTTTGCTTACTTTTTTTCTCTACATTTCTACCAAATGTCTACCTGGTAGAATCTTTAATAAGCAAATAAATGTAAAGTGATTAGAACAATGTCTTGCATCCATAGCAAGTGCTCCCACTGTTTGCTGCCATTATTGTCCCTCACTGACAGTGAACTACAAAACAGGAGGAGAGCAGAAGATAGATAGTTGTCACATCAGTAAGAAAATCCTGGGGCCAGTGCTGTGGCCTGGTAGACGAAGTCTCCACCCGCAGCACCAGCATCCCATACAAACGCTGGTTTTGAATCCCAGATGTTCCACTTTTGATCCATTACCTGTATGGCCTGGGAAAGCGGCAGAGGATGGCTGAAGTCTTGGGGGCCCTGTATTCATGTCAGAGACCCAAATGAAGCTCCTGGCTCCAGGTTGGCCCATCTCTGCTCACTGTAGCCATTTGAGGGGGTGAATCCATGAACAGAAGATCTCTGTCTCTCTGTAACTCTGCCTTTCAAATAAAAAGAATTTTTAAAAGTCTGTAAGGAAGTCCTACCTATTCTACATTCTAAGAATATCAAGCTGTATATGAGGTAGCCACTATCTGCAAAGAGCACAGCCTTAGAGAGGAAACATACATAAATGAACATGGAAAGACTACATGTAAACTCCGTGTAGAGGTACTTTTGAAGTCTCTACAGAGCTTGGCAAACTTCTCACACATAACAATTGAAACAGCTCATCTCCACTATCTGGAGAAAATATCCTTTTTATTCTTCAAAGACCATTTCAAATCCATCTTCAGACAATGATGCCTTTTCTCAGCTTCCCAAACTTATGCGAACCTCCCATGCAACCACACAGCGACCTCTCTTAGACAACTTAACCACTTTTACACACACACTGTGTTCCCCTAAGTAAACTGTAAGCGTGATGCAAACAACTTTAACTTGCTCACTTTAAATACTCTGAAATACAGGATGCTCTGCATATCACAGGCTTCATATTTTTCAGATGAATAGCATTATCTTCAAAGGATTGTCCACTGAAGATTGTCCATTGCCTATTATTTGACTTCTGTTATCAGGCACATTAACTGTAAAAAGGCAATTGTCATCTCTGTAGGTTCTCCATTCGCCTGTCTCCTTCCTTCAATGTGGGATATTAAAGCTACACTACATTTATCATAGCATCAGTTTAAAGCATTGATATCATTGCTTCTGCCTTCTCTATTTCATGTCAATACTTTGTTGGATGATAACTAAGTGAATGCAGAAAGACTCAAGTTTTCCTGAAAACTAACTAGGTCTGTTAATATTTATGTTGTATGCTGTATGACTTATTCCAGCCTTCAACATTATGTTATCTGGATTTGGCTGCTGATCTCTTTATTTTTATATATAAATAGCTAATATCATTTTCCATTTATTTTTTATAGGTAAATGTGAATGTAAGGAACAGGTGTTAGGAAACCCCAAGGCATTCTGTGGAATGAAATATTCATACGGTGAGTTTCAAGTCCTTGAGTGTTTCTGAGAAGCTATTCAAGTCAAATGCAGAGAGTTTTTCTGGGGACTGGGAAGCCTAGCCTAGCTGATGCACCACACACCTTGCCTTGCACATACTAGATACTCAGGAAATAATGGAAAAGAGGAAAAGGATATATATTTGGGAGATCCTGAGACAAGTTGTCTGCCCAGATGCTTCCTCACCCTTTCTGTAGACTCTGGACTCCCCTCCCCTTACAATGCCAGGAATATACATCCCATACTCAAAGGGACATGGTCCCTTCTAAGGTGCAGACAGCCACTGTCTTCAGATTCTAAGTAGCACTGCATTTAGCATGAAATAGATTAAGATGCCTTAACTTGCCCATGTATTCTTGAGTGGGATCTAGGAATTTTTTTCTTTGTTCCATACTTATATGGCCTGTAATACAAATGAAGAGAAAATGTAATGATTTCTGAAGCCAAGTGTTTAGGTTCCTGACAACATTGTATTTAAGGTCATAAAAAGCAGAAAGCAAATGGGAAGAAACCTCATAAATCTATAGTACATTATATAAGCACCTCCCTCTCTTCATTTCCCAACTGGGTTAAATAATAAAAGAAAACTCTTGAAATGCATGATGCCCAAAAAAGAAAGGCAGTTAACAGAGAAGAAAATAAATAAATAAAACAAAATAACTAGTAATGTAGTTCAAAGTCAATAAGTTCAAGTGAACATGAACCAACTCTCATCTCACATAGATTTGGTAGCTCTCTGATTATATTTTTGAACAACCAAACTTTCAGTACAATTGTATTCAATGCCTACTTAACAGAACTTGAATGTTTTTAATGACACAGCGATATACTTTGCCTTATTAAGTGCATTACATCCACAGACTTTAGGTTTCTCCCTCCCCAATCTCTAGCCTAATGGCAAAAGCATCAATTGATTGATTTATTCTTTCAGCAAATATTTACTGAGCAACAGTGGTGACTGGACAAGGTTCCTACTGTCTTTGAGCTTACAGTCTTATAGTATAATAAGAATGAACATTTATTGAGCATTACCAGTGGGCCATATGCCCTTCATTCATTTTTCTCATCAGAATTGTAGTCCAAACTCTCTTTAGCCAATTATGTGAACTTAGTTAATTCACTAAACTCTTAATATTTGCTTCCTTGAACATAAACAAGAAATGAGCTTTTAAAATCCCTTAGAAGTCTAAACATGGGCGATTCCCTAAAGATAATTGCCTGGCAACTGTATTTTTGGAGTATAGACTGACTAAGTTTAAAGTTCTCGTGCTACACACAAACTTCCATCGAGGCATGAATAAGCCAGGGGTAGGACTGGCTACTGGTTAAGATACCTCTTGGCATGACTGCATCTTGTATCAGAGTGCCAGGGTTCAAACCCCAACTCTATTTCCAATTCTTGCTTCCCACAAGTACACACCGTGTGAGGCATCATGGGATGATTGAGGTAAATGAGTCCTTGCCACTCACAGAGGAGGTCTAGATTGAGTTCCCAGGTCCCAGCTCCAGCCTGGTCCAGTCCTGGCCACTGAATAGATGGGAGCTCAGGTGTTTATCTCTCTCTCAAATAATTTTCTTAAAAAGTTTTCAAAAAGACAAAGATAGAGATATGTCAGTAAGAACTCTCATTAATATAGAACATTACATCCTATTTCATTACTTGGTCCCCCATTATACCCACTTCATAGATAGAAGAGCATAATAGACTGAAGAATATAGTTAATCTAGGTAAATATGATATGAAAAATTTTGTTAAATGCCTGGGCCTAATAATCTTTAAAGGCAATTTTCACATTTTGGCATTTTCAATTCACCTTTTCATTGTATTCCAAAATGCATATTTCATATGTATAATTATATAAATAAAATTTTAGGTGAATAAACCTAAGCATACTTAAGTTCAAACCGCAAAAGATAATATACAATTTTATGCCTTTTGACTTGTGGAACTCTGTCATTACAGTGCTCAAAATAAAGATTTTATCAGCTCACGATAAGGGTTCTCATGCTGAGGTCAATGTGAAGATAAAAAAAGTCTTGAAGTCTACCAAGCTGAAGATTTTACGAGGAAAGCGGACCTTGTATCCAGAGTCTTGGACTAACCGAGGTTGCACCTGTCCAATCCTCAATCCTGGTGAGTGAGTGGCTTTTCCCTCCCAAGGGTCCTCTGATGCACTGCTTGTCTTACATTCCCAAAAGAAACCACAGTCCAAATAAACTGAGCCAAAGCACCTCTCCTTCTCACCGTTTAGATTCTGGGGAAAATCCAAACAAAACTTTAGAACTGACATTAATAAATGACTTTTTGTCCACCATGTGCTCTATAGAAGTCAGATATTTTTCAATCTAGCCACATAATACCCTATGGCCTAACACAAACATCTCAGATAGGTTCCAGGTACCAGCTGCAGCAAAAGTACTTTGATGACTTTATCGGCCACTAATGCTTTATCTGAAAGCCAGGTCCTGTGACCACAGAACCTGTTCCGCAAAGTTCAAACACAAAATGCTGTCTGCAAATAATGCAAAATTCATTTCTCACTATTGCATGAGAAGTATCTACTTCTCCTGGACAGAAAATGAATCTCAAGTTCTTGTCTCCTTGTTTTTTACTAGAATGATTATTCTGGCTTGAAATCTGGGGGAAAACAGCCTCCCAAAGCAATGTAGAATTAAAACAAAAAAACTTGAAATGGAGGGAAAATTCATTTGTACTTTTCAATGTTATGACAGAAATGGATACATGGAAACGAGCATAGGGTCCTGGCCTCTTCACGCCATAAGTATATATATTCTTCCCACCTGTGTTGTCAACTATGTATTTCTGCCTCCCTCGTTGCATGTGAGGTTTAGTATTTTAATCATGGTATCTTTAAAGAAAAAAATTTATTTATTTTTATTGGAAAGGCAGATCAGATTCACAGAAGGAGAGACAGAAATATCTTCCATTCACTGGTTCACTGTCCCAGTGACCACAACAGCCAGGAGCTTCTTCCAGATCTTCCAAAAGGGTTCAGGATCCCAAGGCTTTGACCGTCCTCCTCTGCTTTCCCAGTCCATAAGTAGGGAGCTGGATAGGAAGTGGAGCAGCCGGGACACGCAGTAGCACCCATATAGAAACCCAGCACTTGCAAGGTGAGGATTTAGTCATTGAGCCCTCACACCAGGCCCTGGTCATAGTGTTTTAAGTATCTGTCATAAGTGTACAGGTAATGATAACATAGCACCCAGACAGCAAAACAAATAATAATCCCTCTAAATCCCTTGTGTCTATTTCCCTATTTACCTTGTCATTACCTATGCCTTCATGGCCCTGTTGAAACAGGTACAAAATTTGAGTTCTGGATCTAATTCCTCCCCCAGCTAAGTCCAAGAAACCACAATTACATAAACAAGAAATCTTTTCTGGCCTTTGATTCGTAATTTGGCAAACACAGAAACTGAAAAACAGGGGTAAGGGGAGTAGCAGTCTCTAACTAAACAAGGACAAGGACACAAATTTGGACTTTTTTTTTTTTCTGTTGACCAATATCTTGCATGCTTTCCTACATTTCCCTTCTTCTTTAAACTGATTTAAATGTTAATAAGGAAAAAAACATATTGACTCCTAAAAAATAAACACTGGTCCAAAGAACAATTAGAGGTAATAAGTCTTAGACTTGGAATACAGGGAGCTAAGAGTCATTCATTCACAATTCGATTTCCTAATGATCTGTGGGTAGGGGTTCTCCTTAGAAGTATGCTTCTGAACCAAGGGGGGAAAAAATTAAAAAACAAAAAAGAAGAAGAAGGATCCTCCTACGATGTTGACACAAGAGAAGAAGGCCTGCCCGTTTTTTTAGTAAGATATTGAAAACAAAGGCTCGGACAGTCGGAGCCAGCCTCACCTCCCAGAGGTGAACATACTTCCGACTCAGGTTTCTGCCGGAGTCCAAGAATCAGCTGAGTTCATCACCATCACAGACATAAGTGCAATTATTCAAAGAATCTCTTGAAAACATGTTTACCGGCTTTAAAACAATGACGGGGACCTGCCAAAGCAAAATCAGACACTCTTTCATTTCACTTTGTTTTTCCGTTTTTACGAGTTCAATCACTAAGTCCAAAGAAAGCCGATAAGAAATTCTGAAACCTTACACGCCAGCTTGCTCCCTTGGCAGCTTTTGAAAAGGAGCAAATCCAGCTGGGCATCTCTGCACGTCCTTTCATTCCTGACTCACACATACGTTCACTCATTCATCCAGCATCTATTCTAGCATCCCAAATATCATATATTTTTTTCCTACGGGTACAAAATAAACGTTGTGCCCTTGAACCAGCAGTTAAAGTAGATACTGAAAGCAGAGATAAGCAAACAAAATATAAATGTTGTTAAGAGACATAAAAGAGGGGCCTGTCTTGAGGCGTAGCATCCCATGCTGAGCACAGAGTTCTAGTTGCTCTGCTTCTGTCCCAGCTCGCTCCTCATGCACCTGTGAAGGCAGCAAATGATGACCCAAGTACTTGGATCTCTGCCTCTTTCACTTGGGAGACCTGAAAGGAGTTCCTGGCTCCTGGCTCTGACCCGGCCCAGCCCCGAGTCATTGCAGCCACTTGGAAGATCTCTGCCTCATTTTAGCTTCCAAGTAAATAAATTTAAAAATCCTGGACTATACATAAAATAAATGTAAAAAGATACCACTATTTTGTAATTTTGTTCTGATGCTGTTGAATTTTGGGGTTTGCTATTTCTGTTAATTTAACTTACATTTGCATTTTGAATCAATGGTAGATTCCTATAGGATTTGCTCCGGTTTCCAAGCAAATTCATTAAAAATGCTAAGTTTATCCCTTTAGTTTCTTAAAAATTGTTATTTTTACTTTAAAATTAGGATTACTTGTTATTCTGTTAACTAAATACTACGATTTTTTTCATGCAGAGGCTAAGATTTTCTTTTTAAAAAATTTAAATGTCTTATTAATCATTTTGCATTCTGCTCTCTGGGATTTGAAACCTGTCACTATTTTCCTTTTTCTCATTTTGAAAACATGGTGATTGCCATTTACAAGCGTAGCATTGTTTCTTTGGATAATCTGTAACATTCCTTTTACTGTTACTGAAACAATAATAAAGATCATCTCTGTTAACATGCTGGCACACCTCCTTCCAAACCTTTCCTCGGGTACGCTTAGTGCTTTTTAACCTAAAGAGAGTATGCTTCATTCTGTGAACTACTTTATTCTGTTAGTAGGTCTTCCCTTTGATTGCAGTTTCTTTCCATCTCTGTTGATCCTCAGACCAAATTCATATTCCCCAGCTAATCTCAAAACGTCCTTCCGAGCTGCCAGGTCCTGGCCAGTATTCCCTCTGGGAATCTAGTTTTTAAGTGGCTTCAATTGCCCTTAATTCTAGCACAGTTCCTCTTTCATGATTGCCGTTGAAGAAACCAGGCCAAGCACCCTCTACGTGTTGCTAACTGCAACATTTTTCTAATTGGTTCCTTGTGGTATCATTTAATTCTCCTATCTTCTATACCTAATGTGATCTCTAAAGAAGGTGAAATACAGGAGAAAATTTTCTCCTTATCTTATACCAGAAAGTTCCATTTTACAAGCACAATTATTTGCTTTAGCCAATAATATTTTTTAAATTGTTTCTAATTCCCAAATCAGTATTACTACAGACCTTTACTGAGGAAGATCCCATTTCCTTATATTATTGTATAGGTTCCATGTATATGTATGTGCTACACGAAATTATTTAAAAATGAATAACTGACAAGGTTAGGTCTTGTCAGTTATTCTTTTTTTTTTTTTCAAGATTCATTTGTTTTTACCTGAAAGGCAAAGAAAAGGAAACAGAAACAGAGAAATCTTTGATTCACTGGTTCAATTCCCAAATGGCCACAATGTCCATAACTGAGCTGGTCCAAAGCCAGGAACCACAAGCTTCTTCTGGATCTCCCACATGGGTGCCCAAAGATATGAGCCACCCTCTACTGCTTTCCTGGGCCATAAGCGAGGAGTTGGATCAGAAATGGAGGCACTGGGACTGGAACTAGCGCCCATATGGGATGCTGGTGCTTCAGGCAGATGCTTAGCATGCATGGCACCACACTGGTCCCTATTCATTTATTTGTACTATTATGACAAACAAGCATCCTATATTCCAAAAATATCCATTTTACATAGGGAATATGTGTTATTTATATAACTTATCACTCTCTTCCAATCCATTACTCTCCTGAAAATGGTTGTTTCATTTTTATAAAATCCTCTTTATGGGGCCAATGTACCATACATAAATGATTAAGACACCACCTACAATGACAGTATTCAGTTTGAGTCCTAACCCCCACCAAGCTCCCTGCTAATGCCTTGGAAAAACAATGGAAGAAAGCCCTTGGGCACCTGCAGTCATGTGGGAGACCCAGAAGACGTTTCTGGTTCCTGGCTTTAGCCAGGCCCAGTTCTGTCTGTTGTGGCCATTTGGGGAGTGAATCAATGGATAGAACTGTCTTTTCTCCTCTCTCTATAATTCTGCCTTTCAAACAAATAAATGAATCTTTTTTTTAAATCTGCTAAACACACACAATCACACATAGTGAGTTTTCCAGAAATACTGATTTATAGTGCTATATGAAGTATCCATAGAATCCTCACTTCTTTACTTTAGAGAGTTGTATCTGTCCAAAGTCAAATTTCTAGAACCATACAGACCTGAATTTGACTTACAGGGCTGTTTCTTGCATGCATTTTTCTTTACCTTGCTTAATCTAATTCTTTCTTGTAAAAACAAACTCCTTAAATCACATCACTTTCTTTCAAAAAGCATAACATTTTATAGCCCCCTTCTTGTTCTCTTTCAGGCTTGGAGTATCTTGTAGCCGGACATGAAGATGTAAGAACAGGCAAACTAGTTGTAAATATGAAAAGTTTTGTCCAGCACTGGAAACCATCTCTTGGGAGAAAAGTCATGGATATTTTAAAAAGAGAATGCAAGTAGCAATAAAGGTATATAGGAAAGAAAGAAGGAAGGAAGGAAGGAAAGAAAGAGAGAGAAAGAAAGAAAGAAAGAAAGAAAGAAAGAAAGAAAGAAAGAAAGAAAGAAAGAAAGAAAGAAAGAAAGAAAGAAAGAAAGAAAGAAAGAAAGAAAGAAAGAAAGAAAGAGGCACTTGTTTGCATACAAAACATGAACTGAATGGAAAGGAGACCTGAAAATCAAACTGGAATTATTGAAAGTGCCAAAATGGAATGTTCCAGTGCATTGGCCTAGCCTAACCTCTCTCTCCTGGGTGCAGTTCTGGTTCATAAAAAGGAATGAAAACCCTACACTGACATCTGCTTTCCAGGGGCCTGACTCAGATTCGTAACAACCGGGAATGTTTTCACAGCAGCATGGTATTTAGCACTAATCCTGGAGAGCAGTCAGAACCTCCACCAAGGCCTCCACCCAGCTTCAGCTGGGATACTCCCACTTGATGCTACTTGGTCATTCATGAGTTGTTTAAGGAGTCCCTGGCACTCCCGTCAGAAAAGGTTTTTTTAAAAAGAGCCTTCTCTCGGGTGTTGCATACAAACTTTGATCCAGAGACGGGTGTGAAATGGACCCCTCTCCCCTTGTAGATAGCATTTCCTTGTACAAAGCACTTTACACTTTACTTATAAAAGTCCGGAGACTGCTACGGCCTAGAAGAGAAGAAAAGGGTGTGAGCAGAAACATCTGCAGAAACAGAAGCACTACCACAACCCGTGGCGAACGCTTTGCTTCTGAACGCTTGGAAAAGCTGTGTGACAGTGCAACATCAAGCATTGGGCGAGTACGTTTGCATAAACCTCAGCTGCAGGCTTGAGGCTAAGAGTCAAAGACGCCAGCCATCATAAGACTTAAACAAACAAACAAAACTAAATAAGACTAGACTTTACAATAAGAAGAAGAAATCCTAAGTGTAGAAATATGCTTGCATAAAGAGGTCTCAGACTTGCTAAGAAGCTCATTTATTTGCAATGCACGTGTATACACTTCAGAAGTTGTCCACACAGAATTTGTGTTTAGTATTTAAATCTGACCATTGAAATGCTTTTCCTCCTTGTCCTTATTAGCAGTATATGGTCAACTGTTACCCCACTGTTCAACACACCTTTTGTGATGATTCATCAAATTATGAATTTCTCATTAGAATTCATTTTCAGTAGCAACGTGTGACCACTTGTACATACAGTTTCTTCTGTACTTGGATAGACAAAACCTGAACCACAGTGCTATAAGATTTTCACATCCACAAAAAAAAAAAAAAAAAAAAGTCCTAAGGTCCTGTGGACTTGCAAAATATATATATGTTGCTTTGTTAATTTGTTTTTATATTTCATGTATGTAATAAAGGAATATGAACTCCTTATTTTGTCTCATTTCTTAGTCAATTCTTTCAATGATGCCAAAGATTATCTTCTCTTAATTAGGATTTTAAGTCTAATTCCTTAAATTAACAGTCAATGGGGCTGACATTGTAGTAAAGCTAGTTAAGGTGCTGTTGATGATGCCAGCATCTCATACAAGCACCAGTTCGAGTCCTGGCTGCTCCTCTTCCAAACCAGCTCCCTGCTAATGCATCTGGAAAAGCAGTAGAAGAAGGTTAAGTTGCTAGGTCACTGCCACCCACATGGGATATCAGTATAGAGGTATGGCTGCTGGCTTCTGACTATTGTGGCCATTCTCTCCTACCCTCCTAACCCCAGTAGCTCAGCCTTTCAAATAAATTAACTAATCTTTTCTAAGAAAATGTCAAACAGAGGCCTGTCATTTCTACTTTGTCTCTGGGATGTTGGAATGGAGTGATAGATAATTCAGATGAATTTAGTTTCCATAATCTTTGGACATGATCTTTTCATCGGGTATATTGTAATTTTTATATTATATTCACTTTTAACTAATTTTAAGTGTCGCAAGCTTTGTGTTGAAAAATATAGAAAAAGCTTAATGGAAAAGTCTCTATAAACCAAACAACTATAGGAGCAACCATTAGCATTTTTCAAGGCTATGCTGTGCTGTGGACTGTTTTCTATATAATACACATGCCTTTATATAATTGGAAACATTCCATACATAATTCTTGTGGAATCTCTTTTCACCTGTAGGTTTGTCTCTCAGCTTCTTATCTATTATTACCTTATCCTGGTAGGTGGCACATTTACCTGGTAGGGTTGCAATTCACAAATATGTATAGCATACCAAGAAAAATATTTCAACATATCAGATACAGGATTTTCCAGTTCACCTTATTTGTTATAATTATTGCCCATTAAAAATGAAGGGTGGGAATATTTTTCAAATGAAAAGTTTAAAAATGTCCTCAAAATCTTAAGTGAAAAAAAGCAAAAATAATGTATAATTAATCCCCCAAAAGTCATTCATTGCATATATTTTTTCCTGAAAGGGTCATATTATCAGAAATGTTCATCCCTAAAAGGGGAAAGAAGGAGGGAGACTTTTCTCTTTTTTTATTTACACATAATCGTAGTGTTGATTTGCTTTCAGTAATCCTGTATTACTTTTGTAATTTATTTTTTCAAAAACAGTTTGAACTTAATTGTTTTTCAAGCATTTCAAGTAAATCCATAACTTAAGGTTTAATTTTATCTGATCTGCCAAATGGCTGGCCCCTTTATGTCTTCCCAGTATGCTTTAATAAAAACATCTTCATGAGTTACTCTTTCAAGCCCCTTTTCTGGTAATATTTAAAAAGCAAGCACAGTAGTAGTAGTCTAATCTACCTTAGGCACTAGTAGCCCATATGGTCACCAGTTTGAGCCCAAGTTGTTCCATTTCCAATCCCGTTGCCTGCTTATGGCCTGGGAAAGCAGAGGATGGCCCAAGTCCTCGTGCCCTTGCACCCATAGGAAAGAACCAAGAGAAGCTCTAAACTCCTGGTTTTGGACCAGCCCAGCTCTGGCCTTTGCAATTGCAGCCAGGAAACTTTCATGAACCAGTGGATGGAAAGTGTGTTTGTGTGTGTGTGTGTGTGTGTGTGTGTGTGTGTGTGTGTGTGTGTGTTCTCTGCAAACTCTGCCTTTCAAATTGTTTTCTTTAAAACAAAAAAGCACAGGTAACTTAATCATCATAGCTTAAGGTTATAAACATACTTCCACGGCATTTCTAAACTTCCTATGAGCATCATATGACTTCCAAAGTTCAAGCAAGGGAGAAAGCCTGGATTCGCCATTTGTCAAGGAAAACCACAAAAGTGTGAGCTGACCTCCTCTGGGCCCCATTCCCATTCTCATTCAGCCACTTCATCATACCTCCACACCTTTGCCTAGCACTTCCTCCTCCTCAGCATCTTGCAAAATAACTACCCTGTTACCAAGGCAACCATATCCAATGAAACTTCATTTGAACCGAAGCCCTTCCTTCCTGGGCTCCTGGGAAAGTGTCTACCCCTAGGGCTTTGCTCCCCGTGCGCCTGATGCGCCTGAGCTTTAATTAGCCAGCACACGGTTGCATCATTGCCATGAATCTGTCTTCCTGATTGGCCCAACTCCACGAGGTCTGAGCCCTCTGACATCATTTTCCTCCATAGAGGAATGTTGCTAATATTTGGTATTGAACGCAATGGAAATTCTCCATCACAGGAGCATCTTTTAATAGCGTCCACTAAGTGAGGTCAAATCTGTGGGGATATGAGCACAAGTCCAAAAGCAGCATCCCTCTGGATGCATGAAGCAGGGAACAAAGCCTATTATGGGTAAATATCTTCTTTAGGATGCTTTTGGTTCTCGCAAAAACAAATCCTTTTTGAAATGATCAGTCTTGTGCACTCTGAACCTTGAAAATGCCTTGTGCCTCAGTCCCCTTCACTACCCCTGGCCCCAAGGCCTGAGAACAAGAAGAGAGGGCATGGAGCACTGCTTGGCCGTGTTGTCAGAGGCCCAGGCACTGAATGGCTTTTGTGTTCATTGTTTTGATGATAAGCAGTCTCCTAACTTAACGTCACCAAAGAAGCCAAAGATACTCGTGACTTATTTCCCACAGTTGGGAAGGAAAATATTTATGGACAGGCTGGATTTTGCAAGGGAGATTTGGTGCGATAAAAATGGACTGGAGCAAAAGGGTGTGCCTTGCATGAGTGAGGGTTTGTTTTTGTAATCATTTTCAGGGCATTGCTTAAAATCCTCTGAAAATGATGCCCTGGTCGTTGCATCTCTATACCTCCCCCAAAGCAATAAATAGCTCTATATTTGTTCTTTGCAATTCATAACTTTAAAATTTTTGTTCCTTTCTTGTACTTATTTCATAGGCACGGACACAAACAGACATCCCATCCACTGCTTTGCTCCCCAACAGACAGGGCTGTGCTAGGCCAAACGTGGGAGCCTGGAACCCCACCTGCATCTCCCATATGAGTGGCAGAAACCCAAGTAAACACTTGTGATTTCAGAAATGACAAATTCCCAGAGTTATTATTAGTTCATAAATGCTGATTAACTGAGAAAAGGAGAATGCTAGTTACCAGAAGGAAATATTTATATGCACTGAGCTGAATAGATGTTTCCAAAATGTGAGCTATGTGTTCTGTTAAAAGATTTGATAGATGCTAAACATATATCTAGTTTGTAACTGTGTAGTCACAGATGGGTGATCATATTCTCAAGTGTATATTAGTAATGAACTGATTTATAAACCCAAGAATAGCAATGCCTTAGGGGTTATCATTGAGGACTCATCTGAACAAAAGCAAACAGCAGCCAGATAAGGGACCTTGAATAACAACTGTTGGCTGATGTTCACAGTATCCAAGAAATGGTCTGCCCTGAACTCCCTGAACAAGACCCAGGGATTCAACCTTGATGAATGAGATGTAAAAAAGCTAACAACGGCAGTGATGAAGGGTTGACCGGCAAGTGAGCACTTTTCTACCCTTGTAATATTCTTCTTTCATCCTTTTGAATCCCATGTGAGGCGTGTGTCGTGATCACTTCCATTTCCCAGAGGAGGAAGCAGGCACAGGGACGAAAGCCAGCTCTTCAAAGACACCCAACTAAGAATCATGAGACGTAGATCTCAATCCAAACATTCTACACCACTGAGTCACAGTTTTAGCCACTAACAGGGGACTCGGGTATTTAGAAAGAAGTCCATTTGTGTCCTTGGGCTATTTGTTTTAGATTGTAGTTGTGAAAAGAGAACTGAAAGTCAGCAGTTCTCTGTTTTCCTGTGCTACACTCCAAATTATAGCATAATCCATCATGGCCCTCTGAGATGACATAATTTTCTACTGTCATTCCCATTGTTACACTAGAAAAATGCTACTTATCATAAAAGAAGAGGAAATGATCGAAGTCCTTCTTTTATCTTTGTTTTCTTCCTTAGTCTGGTTTTTCTGAGGTCCGTTTAGACAGAAGGTCTGTTTTGGTATTTATCAGTAATGACCCTGAACAAGCTACTGGGACACTCAATAGCATTTCAAATCAATTCTCTCAGCTCTGACTTCAGTTGTGCAGGGAGACTTCATTTGCAAGATGAATGAGAAGGGAATGACACCAAGGGGGGTAGGGGATAGGAAAAACACAGAGAATGGCAGCACTTTGTCAACCAATGAGTGCAAGAGTGGCCCAGGAAACAAAGGACAAAGATTCAGGAGAAAATAAAGGATAGCAACAGCCAAGAAAGGAACTGAGTGATTTATTTCAGCAAGAACATGCAAACTGTTTTAAACAGTATATATACTCAGTCAACCAATTCAAGTAGTGCCAGATCTATGATATACGTAAGATAGCCCTGAGTTTGTTTGATGGTAGTTGTATTTAGAAAGCCTAAAAGCTACAGTAGCTAATTCCCAAACCTTGGGTAAATGTAATTAGCAAATTAGAGAAGCAATTCATTTTACCATAGTTAGAAATCGATTTTGAATTGATTTTTCACAAAGGTCCCAGTCAAGCAAACATTGAGTAACAGTAAGTATTGCCTAACTGTATTTTTCCATATGCATGCTTATCTGCATCATCACACTTATACCTGTAGTCAGAACTTTACCTGCTTTCTCTTGTCAGAGCTCACAGAATTGCCTTGCAAACTCAGTAGTACAATTGGGCTGAGACTGAAGGCCCAAAGGCTCAAAGCACTTGCGCAGTCACAAAGCAAGGAGGAAGCAAAGCAGCTATGTATACCCACCTTTAGGAAGCATACTTGTAGTCCTCAAGTGTTATGAGCAGTCAGCTGGTTCTCTAGAGTCCCAGGACCCTCCTTCAGAACACCAGTATCTGCAGGTCTGGCTGGGGGTCAGAATGGGCCATTTCAATAAGCATCAGAGGCAGTGCAGGTGCAGGTGATCTAGGGCAAGGCTTGAGACCCACCATCCTAGACATACAGAGGAGTCTCAACAAAACCACAGGATCTTTTGTG